TGCCAACAATTCTCATTGAAATCACAAGGGCTTAGCCGATTATAGAATTCAGAACCAAAGTTCTATTTTGTTTGTCTGCCCTCTGCTATTAGTGTTTCATTATGGAAGGGAATAGATTTATTGTTTTAATTGTTGAATCCATCAGAGACGTCAGTGCTAGGATTGTTACATAGCAAACTACAGTTAGGTTCTATCATGGCATAAAGCCTCAACCACATCAGTCACATTCTGAGGTATAAATTGTCACACCGTAATTCATGCCCTGTTGTGCCTCATTGCTTAATTATACAGTTTTATTGGAACTGGATTTTTTTATGGTAAGTCCTAGGCTGACATCACTCTGATTAAGAACTCATTTATGTGATTACATAGTAACACAATAAGATTTTGAGTTGGAAGGAAACCAAGTCCTTTCATGCCCATTCAGCTGCCTAGCTAGTGTGCATATGTATACTCTATAATTTTGTAGGCTTTATTTACAGCGAACAAGATTGAGCCCTAATGACCTTGAGAAAAGTGCAAGCAAGCAGTAAGGTTTATAGATATGCAGATAACATGCTTCTTTAGACTGCTTCTCTTATCTCTAGTCCTTCAGTGACCTGTAGTATTAAAGCAATTGATATCATCTTCAGTCTGAGATTTCTCTTGATGACTTACTTATGCTACAGGTTGAACCTCTCTAGTCCATCACTTTACTCTTTGGTCTGACAACATCTGTGTTCAGCATGATTTTGGTTAGCCAGATGTCTATTTATCATGAGTATGGTCTAGTTTCCCATGGTCCCATTGTGACAGACTCCCTCTCTCCCTCCCCCGCTTTATGAAATGGACTCATGGACACAAGTATGCATAACTCAACTATGTTTGGGACAAAGTGCCTCATGTAACCTATCAGTCTTAATGCCTTAATCTGCTGGGTCTATATACCTTATTTTGGTGTACGTATCATTCTTGTGTGTAAAGTTAGATATATGGAATATGCAATGGTTTATGGTTTTAAATGTGCAAATGAAAAACATCAAGGGTGTTTCCAATGATGGGATGCCTCAATGTTTTGGCAATCATATGTAAACACCCTTTTTTGTTCTTTAAGTCTTAGTAATTGTTAGTTTTAGGAAGTCACATGTCCACTTCAACTGGTAGGAGCAGGCATAGCACTCCCAGGAGAATGAACCAAAGAGCCCCTTGAGAGGGGACTTCCCTGGTTCGGAGGTTTAGCTGGAATAAGAACCAGTTTAGGGTGAATTTGTAATAAGGTAGTACTGAGGTTAAGCTAAGCATTTGCTGTTATTTTAAATTTGTAATCTACTTTGCTCTGCCTGTTTTCACTTTTAGTCTCCTAAATCCTACTACTTGTACTTAATGAAATAAAAAACAACAAATCACTTTTATTTACTACCAAGTCCAGTGTAAATAATTGTTATCTGGGGGAGTGATCCATGTGTACATCCTCCTTTCATTGTTAAAGGGGGCTCACCTAGGGTACGTCTAAACTACATGCCTCCGTCGACGGAGGCATGTAGATTAGCCAGATTGGCAGAGGGAAATGAAGCCGCGATTAAAATAATCGCGGCTTCATTTAAATTTAAATGGCTGCCTCGCTCTGCCGATCAGCTGTTTGTCGGCAGATCGGGGCAGTCTGGACGCGACGCGCCGACAAAGAAGCCTTTCTTGATCGGCACAGGTAAACCTGGTTTCACGAGGCATACCTGTGCCGATCAAGAAAGGCTTCTTTGTCGGCGCGTCGCGTCCAGACTGCCCCGATCTGCCGACAAACAGCTGATCGGCAGAGCGAGGCAGCCATTTAAATTTAAATGAAGCCGCGATTATTTTAATCGCGGCTTCATTTCCCTCTGCCAATCTGGCTAATCTACATGCCTCCGTCGACGGAGGCATGTAGTTTAGACGTACCCTAGGTGAGCCCCCTTTAACAATGAAAGGAGGATGTACACATGGATCACTCCCCCAGATAACAATTATTTACACTGGACTTGGTAGTAAATAAAAGTGATTTGTTGTTTTTTATTTCATTAAGTACAAGTAGTAGGATTTAGCCCTTGGATCTGAAGAGTTTCAGCATCTGTACTGCTCCTTGGGGTGGGGGGAGCAGTGATCTCAGTTCAGTGTTTTGGCTGGGAGAGACTTGGGAGCTGACCCAGCAGGACAGGGTATTGAGAAACCCCAGAGAGCAGGAAGGCGAGTGGCAGTGGCTTTGTCAGCACTTTGAGTGGCATTCCCAAGGGGTCTGCTGTAACCGCCCCCTCACAATAACGCTTTGGGGAAATCTTTAATGGCTCTCAGAGTCCTGTGCTGTTATTTAGCTCTAATTTATCCCTAAATGTCTTCCAAGAGCCCAGTAAGCAGGGAAATGTTGGTAATGCTGCTAGACAATATCGACCTCCTGTGGTCCGGCAAATTCTTTGGTTTGGCACCAGTTAGATCCTGAAGGTGTCGAACTACAGAGATTCGATTTTTAGTGCAAATGGGCCTCAGCATTGTATTAGGCAGAGATAACTGCAGATAGTCCCTATGCCAAAGCCTCACAGTTTTAGGCCCTGATTCAGCAAAGAACTACATCATGTGCTCCAGTACCTTAGGCTTCATCACTGTACTGCTTGTTGCACCACTGACTCTGATGTCTTGTGCAGCAACTTTTTTTGTTTTATTACTCCATGTGTTTCCCATAGAATTCAGTGGATTAAATCTTCAAAGCACTTTAAAATGAAACTTCATTAAACCTTAAAACTGCCCCAGTGAAGCAGGCAATCCAGTACTACCACTGTTTTCGCAGTAGAGGGAAACTGAATTCCATAGAATTGACTTGCCCAGGGTTGCAAAGTAAATCAGATTTAAACAAACAAACAAACAAACAGGAGCTTCTGGCTCCCAAAACTGTGATCAGTCCATTAGATCATGATATCTACTTTCAGTCCATCCACTTTTCTTGGCGTGAATGTATTTTACATGGGGGGATGTGTCCAAGACCCTGTGCAGTTGTTCATCATGTCATAGAATGATAGAATACTAGAACTGGAAGGAACCTTGAGAGGTCCCATCTCCTGCCCTCACAGCAGGACCAAGCACCAACAATCATCTGCATTAGCTAACTAAGGCTACAGCTGCACTACAAGCTGTTTCCAGAGGAGGAAATGCAAATAGAGCGCTCATTTGCATAGGTCACGCTCTCATTTGCATTTTCTCTTCCAATCCTTTTTGCGGAAGAGGTTTTTGCACAAAAAAGCACTTTTTTGTAAATGGCACTTTTTTGTTCAAACCCCTCTTTTGCGCAAAAGCCATTCTTCCTCAAAAAATGCAAAACCTCTTCCGCAAAAAGGATCAGATGAGAAAATGCAAACGAGAGTGTGACATATGCAAATGAGTGCTCCATTCGCATTTCCTCTTCCGAAAAAAGCTTGTAGTGTAGCTGTAGCATATGAGAGCTGGGCATATTTTTCCACTGGAAGTTTTCTCAATCAGAAAATGCTGTTTTGATGGAATCTAAAGATTCCATGGGGACATGTTGAGTCTGTTGAAACTTTTGAAGAACAGGCAGGCTGCCCAGGCAGACTGGCTTCTTGTCAGCTTGCCCATGTATTTCTCTATGCTCCTGAAAACCGCCCCAGCAAACAACTTGATCCCAGTTCTGCAGCCTATCTGGCTCACTGCTGGATGCCAAGAAGCCCAGACCAGTTTTTTATTATTATTATTCCATTTTGTTTCTTCAGAAACTAAATTTTTATTGAAATATAATGTATGTTCTGTGGAAAGTTTCACATATCTGATTTTTCATTCTGCACACGTGGGCGCTAAAAAGTAGATAATATTTCTCTTCCTAAACTCATCCTTGAGCACCTATGTGCCCAAATGATTGTTCTAGTGTACTTTAAAAGGTGGCTGAATTTCAGAAGAGAAGAAGCCAGCTTTGATAGATGTTTGCATACATACCTTTCCTATTTGGCTGCTACAAGATTTAATCGTTAATTATCTACAAAGTGCTTTGAGGTCCTAAGATGAAAGGAACTTTAATGTGATTAATTGGTATTATATTCATGCCTAGAAACCTCACTCAAAGCTCCTGTGGTGCTAGGCACTGTACAGACATGTAACAAAGGCAACATCTGCCACAAAGTGTTCGTAACCTATATGACAGACAAAGCCCAAAAGGTGTAGCTATAAGCGTCAAGTATAATTTTGGTATTTTTGCACATTTATTTCCCAGTGCCCTGCCTATTTCTTGACCTCTGTGCAGTTAATCTCCAAGTATTCCCATTTCTGTTCTTAGCTACATGGTCCAGAGTATGACATCCATTCCAGCAAAGATCATGATTATCAGGTGGAAGCTGTTATTTTCTACACAACAGTGGGACATGTTTTCCCAAGTGTGACAGGGAGCAGTCACAGAAGACCTCTTCGGATTGTTCCCTGGTGTGCTGATCATGCCACTGACACCCACCTTCTTGCTATCAAAGGCTCTCCACCTCCCAGTCCCAATGCACCAAATCCTCTGGTTTCCCCCAGACAAGGCACAGAGTTGGGGTTACCGCCCTCCCTGAGGAGCAATGAAGGCACTGAACCACTTCAGCTCTGGGAGACTGCAGCTCTAGGGCACAGCACCCAAGAAACGAATCCCCAAACGGGACCAAAACCCCAAATAAATCTGCCTTTCTCTGTGCAAAAATTATACACAAGAAAACCTCAAGAGTCTGTTCACGCTCTTTATCAATGAAAGAGATACACACACTGGTTGTTCCCTCCAGGTAACAATTACTTACTTCGGGCCTGATAGAAAATGAAAGCAATTTTATATTAAGTACAAACAGTAGGATTTAAGTGGTTGCAAGTGAAAACAGACATCAAAGTGACCGAGTTAAAATGAAAAGAAAATGCATAGATAGTGCTAATTCACTAAAAAACTTATTGCAAGCAGATTCTTATCTTAATGAGCTGTTCTTGTTCCAGGCATAATCTTCAGGTCAGAAACTCTTTTACTTTGACACGGATCCGTAGCCCTTTGTATCTTTTCAGAGTTTTGCCAGACCAGCTAAAGAGAAAGGTCTGATAGCTTCCCATTGCTTAAACAGACTTTTCTCCAGGGTGGGAATCTTTTGTTCTACATCCCCTCTTACCATGAAAAAATACCAGGGTCAAAATGGAATCCCAATAGCAGGTAGAATGGTCACATGTCTTCCTAGGACCAAACTTACAGGACAAAAACAGGACTTACAGGACAAAAACAGCTGTTTATAATCATTAAGTTGATCACCAAGTCATTAAGGCTTGGGGGGCACCAGTAATGGCTCTCATTAGTACATTTAAAACTAAACAGTCTCATACTTCATATTACTAACTTTACATGCAAGAATGATGCATGCACCAAAATAGGATGTACAGATCCAGCAGTTTGTCACATTAAAACTGATGGGTTATATGAGCTATTTTGTTTAAAGCATTTCCAAGTTATGCATATTTTATTCATAAGCCAAACTTCATAAAGCATGGGGACACCATCACACCATAAGAAATTAAATATTTTGTCTCCTATATACCAACAGCAGCCAGAGACTTTCAGTCAAAGGGTCATTGAGTTTTGATTACGAGAGCAATAACAGGAATGAACATGAGTGAAGACAGTGTATTTGACACATTGCAACTAAACTGGTGACTGATTTCAGGAGGTGGTGGTAGGCTAATAATTTAAAGGTGCCGCACTCAGAAAACCATAACAAGCATGTCTAGGCTTCCTTCAAGAGTGCAGAGTGACACACACACAAAACCAGTCTTCAACTTGACTAGCAACAAGCATGGAGAATACACAAGAACATCCTGAAACCTGCTATAAAATAGAAACACCAGGAAGGGCACTCTACCGTATTACTCATTCCAGTAACATATGAAGCCATCTGTCCTTGGTTTTCATCCAAAACCGAGCAAACATTGTTTGAAAGGCTGGCAATTCTTTTCAGCCAGTGTTGATCTCATGGTGAGCAAATCTGGGCAGATATAGAGAGTTGAGTCAAAGCCATGTATATTTGAGGTAACATCAGTGTATAATCAGGGAAAACAACTGTATTTGATTTCAAGTTTTGTGGGTTTGTAGGACTCTGAAAAAAAAATCAAAGAATGAAAGTACATGCAAACTGATATGAATCAACAGAACCCCTGAGAGATGAAGTTACTTCATTAACTCTCCTTTTGCACCTCAGCTTTCCAATGGAGACAATAACATATAAATCATGATGCAAATATGATTGTAAAAACTGATTGCCCTACCCACCCTGCTTCATCTCTAGCTAGAGGGGGTAAATGCTATGGGAAGACAGCTATAAAGAAACCATACACGATTATTCCATTATTGCAGTATACGCTGAGTGTGTGGGTGGGAATTCTTCATTCATTTCCATCATGCTGCCCTGCTTAGCTTTGCCCTCTCCCGCCTATTCAATACATTGCTCTTAACACAATTAAAGGACATAACAATGCCTTTAACAGAAGTTAAAAAAGCAGGACCAGAAATAATGATTATGGAACAGTTCAACCAATACACAGCTGATGTAAAACAAAACAAAAAAGACTCACCCTCAACCCCCAGGTCCTTGGTTGCTGCTCTTTGCATTTCCAGCCTTATCAGATGTGAATTTGTTATGTTTTATTCATATTTTTAAAGAGCATAATAATTAGGAGCTGTTTGAATACAGAAGCACACTGGTTCCGGCCACAAGCTTTACCAAACTCCTACTCCTCCCTGCATTCCAGGATTAGGGCCAGGGCATAAAGGACTCCTTTATCACAGTCCTGCAAAATTATAATATATGGGCCTTGATCTGGGCCTGATTTTTCACTCATACTACTGCAGTTTAAAAGCAGCTATATATCATATTTATTACTAGAAGATGTATCCAAGGGCTCAGGCCCTTAACACAATTAATTTTGAGGTTTTGGAAAATAAAATGTACATGCTTCATTTAAATCATTGTTCTGGGGATGAGGGGTTCAGTATGTAGGCTGCCGTGCTGGGGAGAGAGGACTGCCCCAGCCCTCTCTCACTGCAGTAGCTTGGGGCCAAGTGAGAAGCATCTCTCGGTGGTGCTGCAGCTCCAGTGGGCATAATTGGGGAGGGGTCAAGAGCAGGTTCAGGTTTGGCTGGGTGGGGGTCATGGAAGGACCACCTTCCCCAGCAGCGGAAGCTCTGGAGCAGCTGCAGGTTGGGTACCATAGCTGGAAGGGAGGTACCCCTTTCCCTGGCTCCAGCATGGAGCTACCATGGACGGGGGGAGGAGAGAGGAGAGGAGTAGGGAGGTGCTGGCCCCTGATGGCCCAGTACAAAGTTTCTGCAGCAGCTCTGTGCTGGGGCTGGCAAACAGATTTCATGCTGAACACCTGCCCCCTGAGCCTCTTTCAATATTCACTCGGTTACGTTAAATGTTGAGGACTGTACTTGAGTTGGTGATTCTGTCTCTTTTCTATTTGGTTTTTATGAGAAGAAATCCCATCCATTCCGGGCACATCCCGTTTTCCTGGCACAACCAAACCCTTACGTTGCTTTTAAGTTATGAGAGATGCAGCTGTATGCCAAATTTGGCAGTCCTCGCTCTGCCAGTTTAGGAGGAGTTCTCGAATACGCACTCTTTCAAATACATAGGTTATCAGTTGAAAGCCTCCTGAGATAGTCTGCTGACAGGGAACACAAGCTCTCTGGCTCCCTCTATAGGTGCTGTTACATGTGAACCAGTTCAATTTGCCCATTTGTCCCATGTGCCAAAGATTTCTTTGTGTTGTGGAAGGAACATGCTTTGAACTGGCTAAGTCAAGGGTTCTCAAACTTGTGATACCACGACCCCCCTCTCAGTTGCTCGCGACCCCCCTCTAAGTTGTTTGCGATCTCCCTCTAAGTTGCTCACGACCCTCCTGGGGGTCGGGACCCACAGTTTGAGAAACACTGGGCTAAGTATATATCTGTGTGGAAGGGTAGACAAGAGTGTGAAATGGTGCCTGACATTCTCTATGCTGGGATACTCTAATGGTAGAGTCAGTAGGCGCAGCCTGGGAAATCAAGCCCAAGGTGGACAAGGATTCTTATACGTCTTATGGCTTGTTTCAAAGTAATAAGCCATTATAGGTAGAGGCCGAAGGCAAACTGTTGTGGGTATAGTGGGAAGGACACAAGGACTTATTCCTTTCTGTAGCCCTGTGGGGTTCGGAGGGGCTCCTCCCCCTCAGGGTCAGTGGGTGGCCACTCCACCCCACTATACATCGCTCAGTTCTTGCGGGGGATCAGCTGTGGTGGCCACCCCTAGAGTAGTGCCCAGCCCAGCGAGCAGTCTGTAATAACAGTCTTTAAACACTGGTCCTGGTTCAGGGCAGGGCAGCAACCACCCACAAACCATCCTCCAGTCCGTCCCTGGTTCCGGACGGGGCGGCAGGTTACTAAATAAACAGTTCTAAGGCCCGTCACTGGGTCAGGGCAGGGTAGCAGGGAAACAGTTTTAAGCCCAGGCCCTGGTTCAGAGTGGGGCGGCAGGCAAACAAATAGTTCAAGGCCCTGACTTTGGTTCAGGGCAGGGTAGCAGGAACATAAGAACGGCCGTACTGGGTCAGACCAACAGTCCATCCAGCCCAGTATCCTGTCTGCCAACAATGGCCAATACCAGATGTCCCAGAGGGAGGGAACACAACAGGTAATCCTCACGTGATCCCTCCCCCATCACTCATTTCCAGACAAACCAAGGCTAGGGACACCATTCCTACCCATCCTGGCTAATAACCATTGATGGACCTCACCTCCATGAATCTATCTCCAAATTAGTCCCCATCATATTATATGTGTAGTTGGGATTATTTTTTCCAATGTGCATTACTTTATATTAATCAACATTAAATTTCATTTGCCATTTTGTTGCTCAATCACTTAGTTTGGTGAGATCTTTTTGAAGTTCTTCACAGTCTGCTTTGATCTTTACTATCTTGAGCAGTTTGGTATCATCTGCAAATTTTGCCACTTCACCATTTACCCCTTTGTCTAGATCATTTATAAATAAATTGAATAGAATGGATCCCAGGACAGACCCTTGGGGGAGCCCACTAGTATCTCTCGCCACTCGGAAAATTTATCATTTATTCCTACCCTTTGCTTCCTGTCTTTTAACCAGTTATCGGTCCATGAAAGGACTTTGCCTCTTACCCCATGACAACTTACTTTACTTAAGAGACTTTGGTGAGGGACTTTGTCAAAGGCTTTCTGGAAATCTAAGTACACTATATCCACTGGATCCCCCTTGTCCACATATTTGTTGACCCCCCTCAAAGAACACTAGCAGATTAGTAAGACATGATTTCCCTTTACAGAAACCATGTTGTCTTTCCCCCAACAATAATCTGTGTGTCTGAAAATTTTATTCTTTACTATAGTTTCAACTAATTAGTTTCAACATGTGTGTGGAGCCCTCTGCACAGAAGGAATTTCGTCCCCACTCAGCATTTCTCCCCTCTCCTGAGACTAGCAGGCAATAGGCAGCTCATCCCATTCTGTGTGTTTCCTGCCTGAGAGCCTGATTGGAGGAGTGATTGCATCCTACCTCCTTAAATCAATGAGGGTCACTCAGCCCCAGAAGGAATCAGGCTTGCCTGATTCCCCGACTCCACTACTTCTCAGAGGGTATGTCTACAGTACAAAGTTACTAAGAACGAACAGCCGTTAGTTCGAATTAACTTTAATAGGCCCTACACATGCAAACCGCTAGTTCGAACTTAATTCGAACTAGCGGAGTGCTTAATTCGAACTAGGTAAACCTCATTCCACGAGGACTAACGCCGAGTTCGAATTAAGTAGTTCGAATTAAGGGCTGTGTAGCCACTTAATTCCAACTAGTGGGAGCCTAGCCCTTCCCAGGTTGCCCTGGTGGCCACTCTGGGCACAACCAGGGAAATTCTTCTGCCCCCCTCCCGGCCCTGGAGCCCTTAAAGGGCCACGGTCTGGCTACGGTGCCCGTGCCAGGTGCAAGCCTGCCAGCACCCAGCCAGCAGACCCTGCACCTAGCACGGCACGAGCCAGCCACCCGCTGCCACCCAGCCCTCCACCTTTTCCCGGGATCATGCTGGTGTCTCCCAGGAGCCTGCCCAGGGCCGCAAGAGGCGGGCGCCCGCCTGGTCTAGTGCAGAGATCGTGGACCTCATCCAGGTTTGGGTGGAGGCCTCCAATGTCCACGACCTCCGCACTAGGCACAGGAAAGTGGCCGCCTAGGGCAGGATAGCTGCCAGCCTGGCCACCAAAGGCCACATGCAAACCTAGGAGCAGGTTAGCATGAAAATCAAGGTGGTCCAGTGAGACCCCCGACCCTGAGCCCTGAGCTTAGAACATAAGAACATAAGAATGGCCGTACTGGGTCAGACCAAAGGTCCATCTAGCCCAGTAGCCTGTCTGCCGACAGCGGCCAACACTATGACCAAGCCATTTTCTAAGCTGAAAAGTCCCAGTCTCTTTAGCCTCTCTTCATATGGGACCTGTTCCAAACCCCTGATCATTTTAGTTGCCCTTTTCTGAACCCTTTCCAAGGCCAAAATATCTTTTCTGGGGTAAGCAGATCACATCTGTACACAGTACTGAAGATATGGCGTACCATAGTTTGATACTTCCCCTCCTCCTTCTTCCCCTGGCTTCCCCCTTCCAGCTCCCTCCTCCCAGGTTTCCCCCTCCCCTCTCCCACCCTCTCTCTTCCCTTCTCCCACCTCCTTTTCCCAGTCTCCCCAGAGGTTAATCCCCTCCCCCAGTTTTGTTAAATAAAGAGAGTTTCTATTTTTGAACACACGTGTCCTTTATTTTTTACATCAGGAAGGGGGGCTAGGGAGGGGTAAGTGGAAGGAGGTGAGGGAGGAATGGGGTATGAGCACCCGATGGGGAGGACTGGGGTGGCTCTGCAGGCTTCTCGGGGTGGAGCCGGGCTGATGGGCGCGTGCTGTGATGTGCCAAGTGTGGGCACTCAGGGCACTCCAAGTCAGGAGTGCTTTGCTGTCCCTCATCGAGGTAGACAAGCAAGCAGGGAATCCTGTCTGTCTGGGGTGGGGACCGGGTCCCTTTAAGCACAGCCCTCGGCTAGCCTGAGACAGCAGCTCCACACTCTAAGTCCTAACCTGATGCCCTGCCAGCACTGCTTCCGGCCATCCTTAACCTCGGTTCAGGGTCCACTCAATGTGGACATGCTAGTTCGAATTAGCAAAATGCTAATTTGAACTAGTTTTTAGGTCTAGATGCACTAGTTCGAATTAGCTTAGTTCGAATTAACTAATTCCAATTAAGTTTGTTCGAATTAGTGCTGTAGTGTAGACATATCCAGAGAGATCAGGGGCAAGTAGTGGGATCTTATGGCTTCTGGCTCAGGCAGGGAAATCAGATAGGGAGAAAGGGCTGTGTGAAAATATTTAGGAACCTCAGAACATGTTCACCAACCTGAACCTGGCCTGGCTTTGTGTGGGTTCAAGGCTTGATGCATGTATTCCACACAGTTCTAATCACTATTATAATTCTGCTTTTCCTGGCCTTGTAATTATGTCACATGTTATTCCCCCATGTTACAGACTAAATCCTTAAATGCATGCTTTCTAAGCAGCTTTTGTATAGAAGGGAGTGATTGTATAGAATTAGTATTAACTAGTTTCACTATTATTAAACGGAGAATTAAAGCTTTCAAGAGTTTCCACCACAGCGGTGGTTGCTACACAACTGCTCTCCAATGCTCCCATCAT